GTCTATGATACATCATAACTGCACAAGTTGCTGCAATGATTGCACCACAATGACTACATACTAAGTATACGACATAATCAGCCCAGGAACTAGTATATTACCATTTGGGATACACCAAATAATCAGCCCCGGAACTAGCATGTTACCATTTGGGATACACCAAATAATCAGCCCTGGAACTAGCATGTTATTATTTGCGATACACCAAATAATCAGCCCTGGAACTAGTATGTTACCATTTGAGATACACCAAATATTCAGCCCTGGAACTAGCATTTTACCATTTGCGATACACCAAATAATCAGCCCTGGAACTAGCATGTTACCATTTGCGATACACCAAATAATCAGCCCTGGAACTAGTATGTTACCATTTTAGATACACCAAATATTCAGCCCTGGAACTAGCATCTTACCAAATACTAGTTTTTTTTCTTTGCAGAGACATGATTTGATACTATCATGATAAACCAATGTTAGACCATTTGTCAGACAATGTTAAACATGCTGCTACATGTGTACTAACGGTATTCAGTTCCTTGAATGTTGAATGTTTTCCTCATAGAGCCTGTGTACCACATGCACAATATGAACATAGTGTTTTCTCAGAAACAAATTCTGTGCATGTGTCTACAGTTTCTTTGCAAGGTGCATTGGATTTTACACCATGTTGATCAGCGCTGATAAAAAGAGGCTTACCTCCGATACATGGTGTGGCATAAAGACCACCTTGCCAGTCAGGATATGCAAAATATTGCCCAGAACGAATTTCTTCATTTTTATATAGAACTACAGATGATCCTTTTGGAGCATAACCATACTATAATGAAGATTGAAAAATATATAATTTGATATAGTAAAATTATCGCCCAAGAAAATTTTTCAGAAAATCAGTTTGATCTAAAAAAAACAAGCCATGCATAGCACAGTCCCTGTTAGTTATCAAATTTAAGATATATAGTTTTTGTTTATAGTAATATAGCTGGTATATAACCATGTCAGGAATATGATTATGATGATTGTTTAACATTAAAATGATTGAAATTTGTATCAGATCGTCAAACAAGTCCATATACGAGAGATATTGCTCTGGAACAGCATTAATTAAAACAAAATCAGCCATTTTGAATACATGTATATATTTTTAACGTGATGTATAATGAATATATAAAATTTGAACATAATCAGTCAAAGCATGTCAGAGATATGGCTCTAGAAGCCTATTCATTAAAACACACACGCACGAACGCACAAGTGTCAAAACATACCGGTAAATCCGCGTTTTTGGACTGTGTCCGAACGGGGACTAAAAAGAGCCTCACCTTATGAGTATCAGCGGATATACTGGTAACACCTTCCAATCTAAAGTCAAATGGTTGTAAAGGATAACCAGCTTTGTCCATGAAAGCAATAAGAAAACCTCCTAGGCATGCATCCACATGGCATGGTAAATTATACTTTAATGCCAGCTGTGGTTTAAAAAGAAAATGATTACAGACTTAAAATCTCTGATTTTTGTTGAGAAATTAAATATTGTACTCTATATTCAATTACCAATGGAGGTTGTTAATAGTAAATTCATATACATATTTACAGGGTAATAATGTGCACTGTAACATCGTTAAGGATTTGGGCGCAATATCTTCATCATTATTACTCGAATTCAGGTACCCTGAATTATATCCAGGAAAAAAAGGGGAATAAGAAAGTTATGTAATCAAATGGATTATCAGCTTCTGAAAATGGTAGCCCACCAGTCATATTTTATTTTCAAGACCTACAAAGCTACAAAATTCAATCAATCATTATAGTGGTTAGTTGTTCAGTTTTAGAATAACATCATTCAATTCAAATCAAATTAGTTTCACTTTCACCATACAGCAGTCGACAGGAAGCAACATTAAATTTTGTGTAAAAAAACAACAAATGTAAATGTTGCATGACCCATCACACACACCAAACATGACACAGTGCAACACAACTACAGAGGGCACTATAACTTTAATATTTAATTCCATTAAATCATATCCATTAAATCCATTTTGAATTTACTCATTTATCCATGTGAATCCTGTAGCTTACCTTTGATATATCCTCTATGGGATCTATAGAACCATGAGGGAATTGTGGTGCTGATCCAACTAAGACACAGGTATTTTTATTGATCATTCTCTCCATAGCCTGGATAGGATATAAAAACATATTACACAGATATTTTGATTGCATTTGACAATTATTATGAATGTAAAAAATAGAGAATATGTAATATACACACAGCACATTTGAAATTTGGTACTGAGAAACTTAATTTTAATTCTGACACCCTCTTCCCGGGCAGGTAAACTCTTCAAATTGTTAAGTATTGCATGAAATTAAAAACCTATATGGTCATCCCTGGGAGGGGGCAGTTGACCAGAAAGTGTCAATTTATGTTATACCCAGAGGTCACAGCTTCCATCATTTTGTTTTACTGACCTTGAGGTCACATATTCCACAATATCGGTCTCACCGACCTTCAGGTCACATCTCCCGCCATGCCGGTCTCAGTGACCTTGAGACACCCTCCCCCCCCCCGGTCATACCGGTCTCAGTGACATTGAAACCAAATTCCTGACATGTCTGGTCTCAGCGACCTAGAGTTCACATTCCTTGCCACACCAGTCTCAAGGTCACATTTCCTGTCACACCGGACTCAGTGACCTTAAGGTCACATTTCCTGTCATACCCAGTCTCAGTGACCATAAGGTCACATTCCCTGTCATACCCAGTCTCAGTGACCTTAAGGTCACATTCCCTGTCATACCCGGTCTCAGTGACCTTAAGGTCACATTCCCTGTCATACCCGGTCTCAGTGACCTCAATGTCACATTTCCTGTCATACCCGGTCTCAGTGACCTCAAGGTCACATTTCCTGTCATACCCGGTCTCAGTGACCTTAAGGTCACATATTCAACAATATTGGTTTCACCGTCATTGAGATTACATTTGATGCCGTATTGGTTACACTGACCTTAATGTCACATCGCATATTTTCATCCTGCGGCACACGAACAACCTTCATACAAAAATATGTAGCGGCTTTATCAAAGGCTGCATGCACACTTTTTGGCGCTAGACTGCAACATAAATTTTTTTTATTAACCCTCCTAGTACCGCAACCAAATTTTTTCCGAGCAAAACGTTTAATTTAACAAATAATTTTGTGTAATAATGCCCACCAATTTTGACCAATGTTTTTGACTTTGGAATGAGATCATTAAAAAAAAACAATAATTATTTTCATTTACTATGAATTCACATAACAATATTAATTACACATAATAAATAAGTCATTGACATGACATAGCTCCTGTAGGGCAATAGTAAACAACACTGAAACATGTCAGCCATTTTGAAACACAATAAATGCCTGCTGATATGTTTAACATGATGTAGAATATATGTTAAAAGTTAAATTGCAAGCAAAAATAAAGTATTCTACATTAATAGCCACCATGGTTCAACAGGTTGGTAATTGGATAAGAAAAACAATGTACGATAGTATTAGCCACCTGGACTAAACAGGTCGGTGATTGGCTAATAAAAACAATGCAGTATTAGCCACCTGGACTAAACAGGTCGGTGATACATACATTTCAGGTCTTTTAACTCCCCTCTCATAGGCTATAGCTCTGTAGGCTCTGCATGCCATTAAAATACTTTCAGTACCACCAGTTGTCACCTGAGAAACAGAAAAGAAACATGTATGTAACACACCATGTGACACATTAGATAATAAGTCACATTACAATTTAAATTACATAATCCTTTTCACCACCAGACTTTCTTTATAGTATTACACTTTATAGTATTACATCATACTAGGGCACACAAATTACACTTTGTAGTATTACATCATACTAGTGCACACACATTACACTTTATAGTATTACATCATACTAGGGCACGCACATTACACTTTATAGTATTACATCATACTAGTGCACACAAATTACACTTTATAGTATTACATCGTACTAGAGCACACAAATTACACTTTATAGTATTACATCATACTAAAGCACACAAATTACACTTTATAGTATTACATCGTACTAGAGCACACAAATTACACTTTATAGTATTACATCATACTAGTGCACACAAATTACACTTTATAGTATTACATCGTACTAGAGCACACAAATTACACTTTATAGTATTACATCATACTAGTGCACACAAATTACACTTTATAGTATTACATCGTACTAGAGCACACAAATTACACTTTATAGTATTACATCATACTAGTGCACACAAATTACACTTTATAGTATTACATCATACTAGTGCACACAAATTACAATTTATAGTATTACATCATACTAGTGCACACACATTACACTTTATAGTATTACATCATACTAGTGCACACAAATTACACTTTGTAGTATTACATCACAAATTACACTACAGTATTCTATATTTCAAGAGATGCATGCAAGATTTATTCCATATACGGCACTGAAAAGGTTAAACAATGAGCAATTGATTCTGCACACATCGGTGGAAATTACTGACACTTGTTTAATAGATATATACACGTACCAGTGTGTAGCATTAAATTAGAAACACATCTCCAATAGCTATGCACATAAACCAAATATTGTATCTAATGTACACTGCATAATTAAAATTTACTTATTTGACCATAAACACATCTCTGTCATTTACCTGCAATTCTAATCAAAGAAAGCTTAGAAAGAACTCCCATGTGCTGAGAGTATTGGAGACACATTAAATATAATTCGAAATTACTTAGCTGAAAACTAATTATGCAAATCAGAAAATTAATATGACCAGATTTGAGTGTAAAACTAATGAGGTCTGCGCAATGTAACAGAAAATCTATGTCTCCAAGTTTAATTGAAATGTGATTAGAACCAAAAAATTATGAATTATTATGCTTATTAGGGAATTAATATGAACAGATTTTTACCCCAAACTAATTAGGTTTGTACATTGTCCTAGAGCATCTTTGTACTAAGTTTCATTGAAATGGAATAATTAGTACCGTGAAAACTCCAAAATCTCGACCCCTCTAAAAATTCGGCCGCCTATTTATTTGCCGGGGTTCGGTGTTTTATTTACCTCCAAATTTTCGACTCCACTAAGAATTGCCGACTCATTCTTATTCGAAAATTGCGACCAGTTTTAGTTTTCCCCCAAACGAAAAAAAAACCGATGTGAGCGTTCAAACGGGACCTTCCTCGAAGGCATGAATCCGGGTTTCTGATTGACTGA